ATTTTACTGAGGTCATAGAGGCAGCAAATTTCGAAGGAAGCTGGCTGAACATGGGACAGCATCCCAGCATCCCTTCTCAGGTGAGTGTTGTATGTACCACACATACCCTTGCCCTGATTTTTAGCTTTTATAACGCAGCCTGATGGGACGGGGGTCAATGCGAGCCCTCGAGTTTACAAAAAAAGAAGATAGAATATAACGGAAAGCGCCAGTGGATTGATCTCGGTGAGATCTGGCGATAGTACTAGTTTGTATGTCGTTAGATCAAAAATTGGCCCCATTATGTCAGATCAAGGGGTTTTTGTCATAAAATCATCCTTTTTGCTTTACATCATACATACAGGACCATGCCTCATGGCGTCGAGAAGCTTAAGAAACGTACTTCTTGTCCAGTTCCGAGTACAGCGATGAGTAGTTTGGTATGTTTTGAACAGCTCTTTATGATATATGGTTCCAGTTATGTAACAGTGTCGACCACTCGCGTGCTTTCCACGGCATCGTCGGTTGCCGCCCCCTGTTCGGGGGGGGGGGGGGGGGGGGGGGGTACAGGCGCCGGGGCTGCTGCCGTTAGTGTTATGCGTCGCCGGCTGCTGCTGTCACTCCTCTTCACAAGAGCGAATTGTACTGAAGAGCCCATTGGTCAATAGCATACGAGGCAGATGATGGTACGGGCACGACCCGGCACATCGTGGCTCCGGTACATCCGACATCAATTCACATGAGTGAGCCGCAGGGTTAGGATGAGGCCGAGTTTAGGCCGGGGTACTGGCGGGATGACAGGTCCGGTCAGGCACTATGAACGGCTGTCTCCCCGTGCACAGTTGCCCCTCCCACTGCCATGGGAACCCACCTCCAGCGTTTGGCTGGTGATAGTATTCAAACGGGGCAAAACGGAACGTTGTAAGGCCAAAACATTATCGTCATTTCGCCATGAAATATTGTCACCGACTGCCGCGTGACACGTACAAGGCCACAGCCCGGAACGTTGTTTTGTGCTGTCTGGCGGATCGGGCATGTTGTGGCGTCCTGCGCGGCGCTCACCCGAAACCTAAGGCGGAGGAGGGAGGGGACCGACGCCGATAGAGAGCGCAACGGAACCGCAAACGGGAGCATTCTGACGGTCATGGCAGACGTTCGCTGTGCTGCTGATCTAGATGCCATCCGCTCATCTTGGTCATATGGTCGGGCACGACTGATGGCGGGTGCCGCAAAACGACTGGTGAATAGGAAACTGATTCCTGCTTCAGTTGGGCTGTCATATGACATGCTGCATGGCGAAAGGCATGCTCGCGGCGGTAATCAGGCGCTACTGAAGGCGATGCGGAGTAGCTGCAAACGCATCCCATAAGTAAAGCTGTTTGTAGACTTGATGATTCGGCTTCGGCTTATCAGACCGGCAGAGAGCGCAGAGGATCGATGGAAAGCGCGCGCAAAGAGGTGTTCGGCGTACACAGGCAGCTCAACCACGGCAATGCTGCAAAGGAATTAGTCATCCGATGGAATTGATCAGATGCCAGCAGGCAGACGCTCTGAAAGGGGCCGTACAGCTGAAATATAATCTCAGCTTTGTGAGCCGCGCTATGAATGCGAAACAGTGAAAACCGGTATAGCGATTTCACGCCACAAAGTGAGACACTCCCAACGGGTATGTCTGTACGCATACGCGTAAACAAACCGGGCAAACCCCCCCCCCCCCCTGCCGGACCCTTTGCGTCCAGGCTAATTAACAGTAGCACGATGTAGTCCGGAATGCGTCAGCTGCCTTCTGCGCATCAGAACCACGCGTCCCAGAAACACGCTCACCAGCTCCAGAAAGCGTGCTGGAACGTGGAACCTGATCACTCCCTCCCCCTCCCCCACCCCCTATCCAACCAGCGGAACAGTGAGCTATTTCGGTCGGCCCGAAACTGCCGCTGCTGGTCAAATGGGTGCACATTAATTACTCAGTAGTGACGCTTCTTTTAAGGCACTTTTTGGATCATCTAACCAAATTTTAGAACCCACCGCAGTATCTGTTCAAAAGAAACAAATTATTTCAGATGGCGATCAAACGTCGCTTCTTATGGCACGTTTTAAACGGATGCAATAACCTACACTCATCTACACCTACAATCAGCCATGCAACCGTCGGAATTTGCGCTGAGCTCTTGATGATAGCATGCATATCCATCACATTCGGTAGCATTTTACTTTGCTTTAGCCCATTAGAAGCATGACCCGGCAGTGCGCCGAAAACGTGGGCGCTATGGCATGCTTGACCCAGCTTTAGTCAATTTGGGGGGGGGGGGGGCCTGTCGAACAAGCAGCAGTTTTACATCGATTTGTGCATCGATACACAGAACTCTCACGATCTGACTAACAATTGCTAGGCTAATAACGTCACGCTTTTCAAAGCCTGAAAAGGTAAGGTGGGCATTCGCAGCCGCCCTAAATATTTTGTTACAGTTCAAGGCCAATCAAAGGGGAAGGTTTTGATGGCGTTCAAACAGTACTCGCAGAGCAGTGCCCAAAGTTTTAAAAACGTTGAGTCTGAGATCTCGCGATGTTTTGTATGTCCAACTTAGCTTTTCATAGTTCGGAATGCATCGGCCAAGTTTTATTAGCCTGCCAATTTTTAGCTAAATTGTGGCAGTCCGGAATATCGATCAACGGTTTGATACAGATATACTGCGAGCTTGACCGGTGTAGTTAGGCGGTAAAAGTTTAGGCTGGGGCCAATATTCCACCAACGTCTTGTCCAGCCGTTGACATTTTGAGTTAAGTTAGTTGACATCATCATCCGCACTTGACATAAGCCCTTGTCAATATCTTTTGGCGCCTACACGAGTAAGCGGGGTGTGCCATTCATACATCTGAACGTCAGTTGAGAGCTCAACTCTCGCCCTGCCCGCTGTTTGTCGTAACACAAACTGATGGGGGTGGATGGGGAGTCGATGCGACCCACCCCGCCATGAAAGCTACACAAATGTATTCGTTGTTCTATTCTGAACGTATGACATCTAGTTCTGTGTGTTTTGAGCATATATGTATGATGTAAGGCTCCATTACTGTCAGTTGACGTCCCTGCTGCCGCGGACGGCGGCTTTGTCGGTTGCCGCCTGCCGCCCGCGCCGGACGAAAATTGGCACGCAGTGTTCCTAAAAAGTTTAACGTTCAGACGCCGGATGCTATGGAAACATTTTTGTGTCCAAACACGCGTAATCAATGCCCCGAAATGACACCTAAAACTTGGGCATGAATGCAAAACATACCGGAGAGATGTCCTCAAAACCTTAGGGCGGGGTTATTGCCCTCGAGAATACCTCGGCGGTATTCTCCGCCTCATCGACCTTCTATCAGGGGAGACTTTATAAGTTTAAGAGCACATGGAAGGAAAAGCATGCATGATCCACAGCCATGCAACTGACTGGATGGCCAGCTCCCGCTTCAATGTCTAAGTAGGCCCAGAGGGCTGGCGCTACCACTGGAAGTGCGTTCTTTTGCGTTGTTCACGTCGGGCTTGCGCGCAGGGATCGAATCTGGGTCCTTCGCACACATTATCTCGTGGTAGTTTCTGGTTTATGTTCCAGTCATGAAAGGTAAAAATGAAAAATGACAAGAACACGCCCTCATTAGTGGGCCATATCCGTCGATTTGTTTCATTTCTGGGCTGTGCGGAAGGCAGCGTGCTGAGGCCTACGCCGGCGACACCCAAAAAAATGCGTGGTCTTATTCTAATTTGTGTGACGTTATCCTCCTATGCCTGTCATACCATGGTTGTTGGTGGATAAGTGACCACGGGGACGCCGTTTCGTAAAAGGCATAGGATTGGGAGAAGGGCTTAGGAATCCAAAATATAATAAAAACAACTTCTTCACAGGTTTGACCGAGATTATGTTGAGAATTGGGAGCAGGCGAGCAGCTTCGCAAATGGCGCAATCTGCCCCTGCAACGCACAAACAACGGGTTTCTCCCGGACTTGGTCAACTTTCTCAAAATTGCTGCCTGACGTCAAAGTGGGTGGGGTAGGGCGGTTGCAACCCTCGGGCAAGTAAACAGGAAACTACACCGTTGTAGCGCTTATGAAAATGAGGCTTTAAAAAAGTAATCAGATTCATTATTCTGGTACCGTTAATGACCGTCTGGTGTGTTTTCATCAAACACGGGTCTAGCCACTAAGTTCAGCACTGAGTAAAAATCACGAACTTCGCAGATATCACTTGCCTGCCATGTGACGGGTGTATATAAACCGACTTCCGTAGCTACCGCATGGACTGAATCTGCTTGCAGCTGAATTTCTGGCCGAAAGTGCTCCACTTGGTATTGCCCTTGGGTATATCAATATTGCCCTTGGGGTATGGAGGTATACACAGAGCAACCCCTCAGGGACGTGTATATCCCTCCCCACCGTTATAAAATGTGCATGACTTCTGTTCATGAATAAATGCTATAAATTCCAGTCATAAATTTCAGGTAAACATGCAAAGTCGAGGTCATGCGATGCTGCTTTACATGGAGATAAATTACGGATCGTGACGCACTGAGCTTGGTTTTCGTTTTTCGGGTTTTTGTTCTTTTGCTGTCCCTTCCCTAGTACGTAGTATTCCCCCCCCCCCCTGGTGAAATACTACGTACTCCACCAGTACGACCTGTAAAAAAGACCAACACATTTTGCTATTGGCGTGTCGGTTATCTGGTTCGGAATAATTCTGGGCTTCGATTTTGACCAGAGGCCAATCAGCACATTGGGTTACACCTAGTTAACACGCAGAACATTTAAGTTCCTAAGCCCAGATGCAATCATTGTTGACTTTATCCCTGTTCGGGGATTCGACACAGGGGAGTGGAGCGCTTCGGTCACCGACCGATGGATCGAGTAAGCGGTGTAGCTTTGCCGTGATACCATTTTTTGGTCGGAATATTCGAACAGTGCGCGCGATTAGTTGAATGAATGGTGAGCATCGGCAGGAACAACGTCATGACGGAGGAGGAATGTAGCATTTCACCTCATTGCATACATATGCAAACAACGCGTGTATTGAACGACACATCGTTGCACCTAGTCACATCGGAACCAATCACTTCGCCGCTCGTCACACTGGAACCAACCACTCCACGAGGCAACCACTGCCGACCCGGGCGGCCCAGAGCACGTGTCATGACGGCCGCGACCGAAGGGCCGCCGGCCGCCGCCGTCTTGTCCGAAACGCGCTGGCACATCTCCGTGCTTAGCGTGAGGCAACGCAGCCACCGCCCGGTCACCGGAGGGTGCTCATGTCCGACGCGACTGGCGTGGAATAAGTGCCAGGGCGGCGTGGCAGGACGGCGGCGCGCCCGACACGCGCGCGCCGCCGTGCAGGCAGTGTCTACCGTCCGAAGCCTCGAGCTCGAGCGCTCGCGGCGCACCGCGTGCGGGACCTCGCGCACGCTGGCGGCCGGTCTCTCTTTCACACGCCCTCCGTCGCACGGCACGGCGCATCTTTTCACTGTGCCGGACGTTCAGCAAAATCCAGCGCCAGGCGGTATTGATTTGTGCGCAGCTCCTCCTGAAACGCCAGTGGCCGAACGCTCAGCCCGCGCCGCCTGCCGTCGCGCCACCGCACGCAGACGGGGAGCGGGCCGTCTGCGACAGTCGCAGCACACTCCGCAGACTGCGACCGCAGCGCGAGGTGTCGCAGCTCCCGAGGAAGGAGCTCACTTCTTTTTGAAGAAGCTCATGATGTTGGGCTGCTTGGTCTTGTGCGGTGACGTCGCCTTGGGCTTCTGCGTCTCAGCCGGAGCGGAGGTGGAGGCAGGCGCAGGCTCCTTGGCAGGGGCGGCTGGCTGCTGACCGACCACAGCCTCCGAGTCACTCTCGCTACAGGTTTCGTACTCCTTCTTCGTGACTGCAATACAGACAGCGCCTTAAACAGAATTGTGTACCGAACGGTTGGACGAACCCGCACCGAATTAACGTGATTCCAGCAATTCGAATCACGTTTTCCCGGCATATTGTAAGCGAGAGTCGCAACGTTTATATATATATATATATATATATATATATATATATATATATATATATATATATATATCGCACTGTGGCAGGTGCGTCCACGTGACCAGTTTCCACCAGCTTTTTATGCCCCTCATATCAGCCGACTCAAAGCACGTACATGACCTGGAAGTTCTGGCCCTCTTGCGCAGCGCCGCTTGATGGCATTTTTTTTGGATTAACATCCATGTGCCACGGCTCGGTTTCCCAATGCTTCAATTATTCTAAATGTACGCTTCACCGATCGTCAAACTTATCAACAATTCGCACCCACACAGACCGCAAATACCAGCACGAACAAACACAGACATCACGCATCACAGCGCGAACAAGCAGCCTGTAGGGGCGCATTCTTGAGTATACAGTGTAGCACTCAATCTGTCTTGTTATCATCACTCTTAATTGCAGCTTACTTGTTCTTCCAGTTAAGAGATATACACATGTCACACGGATATTGTGCTGAGTTGCACCGGTTGCACCGTACATCCCAGAACATCTCAGGCGCTGTGGGGCTCGCCGCCACCCGACACGCCAGTGCAGCGGCTGTTTTCTGCCTCTCGCCGCCAGACGGCGTCAGACGCGAGAACTGACCACTCTCGCTAATCGATTCCCACTTTGTTTACCAGGCCTGAGTATAAGGCGGCGAATTCACCCAACTTACCACTATTTGTGGCGATGCGTCGCTCAGTTCAAAGGCAACTTTTATGCCCCGGGGGTATTTGTGACCTGTTTGGCTCGGCACGCGCCCGGCTGGCGACCGGGACGAGGCGCGAGCACATCCACAACTCGCAACGCGGACCCGCAACCCTCGCACATCACAACGGGGCTATCACGACAGGGGTAATGTCTTAACTCTGTTACTGTCGTGTGACTCGTCATGAAATCATGTCAGCAATGCTGACTCCCCTCCCCGATCACTAAGGTTCTGAGCGTTGCTGTTTCCTCGAGTAGGCTTTTGTTTTTCCATCGATAGCCCTGACAGAACTTCACAGACGGCCGTGTTTTACTTCGTTACAAGCTTTGTCCGATGTCACAGGAGTGTCATCCCAAAACTGGTCGCCAAAAGCATGCAATGTCAGCCAGTACGACGCAGTGCGGTGGATTACTGGAACATCCTCAGTGAGACACCCGTAGCCTCTTATCATCTTTCATTTCGTATTACTCTCATGGTCTAGTGACTTCCTAATCCAGGTGACATTTAAGGGGGGGGGGGGGTCCTTACACTGTCGAAATTTCATGGCTATACGTGCTACCTGGTTTCTTCATATTTGTTCCCAGGATCTCTGAACATGGCTGTTATTTCCTTGCGCTGTTCGCAAGTCGACTTTTGTGGACCCATAATCATGAGAAGTAGTTCAGGTAGGGCATCAGATTTCAACGCGAAAGCGCTACTGTAAGTGGTTAAATCACGGGGAAGACAGGGGTTTAACTTTTGCTTAACCTTCTCCTGTCTGGGAAACTGAGGAAAGCTGGAGCGATAACGGTGCTTTAACCTGATCCCTAAATACTTAACTGGCAGTTTAGTCCTCCGAATCCCGAAATGACGACACATTACGACTTGACGTAAGCATGAAAGACCTTGAGCTCTTGATCTATTGAGATATGGTTAAACGATGTGGTCAAGCATACATCGGTTCTGTTGTCAAAACCAGACGCTTGAAGTTGCGCCCGACGCCGCGAGTGACAAATGTCGACAAGTTACGCCGTTTGTCACAGGTGACACCAATCTAAACATCACGCGTTTTGTTTGGTGAATACGAAACCAATGTGCCTCCTGAAAGGCCTGGCTCAAAGTACTTTGTTGAGTGTGCCTGTAATAAGGTGTAACTATTTTGTGGGTGCCTCTAAAAAGGAGCCAATATTTTGCTGAGTGCCTGCGATAAAGTCCGAACATTTTGCTGAATGTGCCTGCGGTAAGATCCGAGTATGTTGCTGATTGTGCTGAGCTGTCCTATAGCGTGTTCTAAGTGTTTGAAGAATGGCGTGGTAAATCTGTCGGGCCCTGGGCTGGTCGACCCCTCCATGTTAGTCAGGGAAATGCGCCAGCTCCGCCTCGGTGATCCCTTGCCATGGCCTCGCCTTGTGTCTATCTGGCGTTTGTATACCAGATAACGCCTTGTTCGCAGCTAAGTCACGCTGTTCTCGCATTTAGAGTTAGTCAAACTAAAAAGCTCCTCCTCCAGCATCGCGCCTGTATTGTCAGCTGTCGCGGTGGGCTGGTGAAACACATTTCTACAGAATTGGGCATATGATGCACGTCAAGTTTTCCGTCCCGTTGACGTGTTTAGATCCGTCTCACCGTCCTGCCTTCAGTTCGTGGGATAGAGCTGCGTGCTATCTATCGTGATTTCGGCAGCTTATTGATGTCTCAGCCCTCAGCCTCAGAATTATTGAGATGTTAATTCCGAATCATCAGCAATCAAACGTTCGCAAATCAAACTCCAAATTTGGTTTTCTAGCTCACAACGCGCGACGCTGATGTTTTCGTCTGTTGCTGGATTACATACCCAGGGTGAGGGTGGGGAGGTGGGAAGGGAGGGAAGCTTACATGGTTTCAAAACGGCAAACTGATGTAAGAGTCTGGTTGCTTATGTGCACAGTCCACATTTGTTCTGCGAAAGCCCATTACACGCTGCGTATCATTTACAAATGTCCTGAAGTGTTACCTTACATATTACTACCCTTAACTAAATCTTGGTTGACTTCTTAACTTAATCCTTTGCATCAGTGTTTTCCCATTGGAGGCCTATAGCGCACCAGCCTACACAGTCTTATCTTTGCGTTGGCTTACAATCAAAGCGCGCCCGGTTCCAGTGCCCAGGGTCAGAGGTGGGATGGCCGGCTAGCCGCCGATCTGTCGGCTAGCCGCAGAACGCGGCCGGCTAGCCGCCGATCTGCCGGCTAGCCGCAGAACGCGGCCGGGTAGCCGCCGATCTGTCGGCTAGCCGCAGGAACGGCCGGCTAGCCGCCGATCTGTCGGCTAGCCGCAGAACGCGGCCGGCTAGCCGCCGATCAGTCGGCTAGCCGCAGAACGCGGCCGGGTAGCCGCCGATCTGTCGGCTAGCCGCAGAACGCGGCCGGCTAGCCGCCAATCGGTCGGTTAGTCGCAGAACGGGGGTAGCCGCCGATCTGCCGGCTAGCCGCAGAACGCGGCCGGCTAGCCGCCAATCGGTCGGTTAGTCGCAGAATGCGGCCGGGTAGCCGCCGATCTGTCGGCTAGCCGCAGAACGCGGCCGGCTAGCCGCCGATCAGTCGGCTAGCCGCAGAACGCGGCCGGGTAGCCGCCGATCTGTCGGTTAGCCGCAGAACGCGGCCGGCTAGCCGCCAATCGGTCGGTTAGCCGCAGAACGCGGTCGGGTAGCCGCCGATCTGTTGGCTAGCCGCAGGACGCAGCCGGGTAGCCGCCGATCTGTCGGCTAGCTGCAGGACGCAGCCGGGTAGCCGCCGATCTGTTGGCTACCCGCAGGACGCGGCCTGCCGACGTGGCTGGCCGACCGTGGGAGGGGCGAAGGAACTATTGAAAAATACACGCCCACGTATTCGAACTGTAGATTCGGGGCACATAAATCCACTCCGCTCAACACTCGATCATGATTACTGATTTCTGCATGCAAATCGTAGATCCATTACAGTTTTTCCTTTTAGTTTAAGTTTTTCCTTTTAAACACACGTACACATTTCACAATCGCATCTGATACCTCAGACCACGGTTCCACCTCCTTAGTGGTTTATTCGTGCATTCTGACGGGCATTCGCCAGACTTGAACGGTGGAGCAATCTCGCAGAACATGTAACCAGTATGTTCACCGTATCTTCATCATCTTAATCGTAATTGACACCGTAATCAATGCACCATGCTTCAAACTTAAAGCCCCCTGGCAACAGCGTTGTGTTTGGCAAGGCCTTCAGAAATATCTTACGGCCTGGCAAACCTTCTGGAATTACCAACATCTTAGGGAATCGGGTTTGTCTTGTTATCTTGAGTAATATTTGAATTCATGATTCGCCCAGCCCGACAGCCGCAGACCCTAAAACTACCTAACCTTGCACGAACGTTGCATTGCCCATCACACGCCTGAGTGGTCGCAATCCAAACAACTTGCAGCTGAAAGGATCTTATCTTACGGTGGAATCAGGGTGTAAAACTGCGTTCAACTTTCTGCATCACGACCACTTCTTTGAACTAGGGGGCGTTCGCGACCTGAAATCTATGGCGCAGCAGGTGAACCCCACGCACGGTCAGAGACACGGCGGTCCGCGGTCTTCTTCCTAATGTGGCGTGCTGCGGCAGTCTAAAGCCCCGACTACATCAAATTTGATATTACCAGATTAGTTGTGGTGTCGGCAAGAAAATTATCTCGAAATGTCCAAATGCTTGTTTGTTGACAGCAGGTACATTGAAGCAATCGTGGACGCTCGTGTTTAGTCAAAGTCATTCCTTTAAGACAGATTTAGGACACGAAATGACGATATAAGTTCACAAACATTTATGCTAGAGCTATAAGCGTGGTTTGGTTGGTTTGGAGATCCCATAGTTTCGTATGGAGACACTCGGCGTTCGCGGCTCCACAACCGGCAAGCCGCGGTGGTGGCCGGTCGCTGATTGGTCTACATTTCCTCCAAGATGTGGCATAAGTCACGATTGGTCGAGCGTTGTTGAGGTGAAGGGAAGTCCGAAATAAAGACGAAGGGAAATCACGTGAAATGAAGATCTGGTCTTCGCTGTGCAAAGCTAGCAGGAACAAGAGGCTGTCAGGCGGGTAATTACCACCTAGGCCATAGGCGGCGCCGGCGGCATGCGATAAACCTATGTAAACGGGGCTTAAGGTCGAGTGACCCAGAAAACTGCTACTAAAGTATGGTTGCCGGAGGCTGCACTCAGTGTAAATCACTATCTTAATCAACGAAGTAAAGTATGCAATCTGATTTCATCAGTGATCGATTCACCAGTTATATGGTGAACACAGCTCGTCAACAACACGTTCAAAAGCCAAACCTGTTCCACTGAAAAGTCGTGCAATGGACCCAACTGAATCCAGAATCAGAGGCCAGAAGACAAAAGTAAAAAAGGCAAAAAAAAAGAATGCTTCGGTAAGTTGCTGAGCATACCTATTCGCGAATTTCAGAGACTAGCTGGGGATATCGATCAGGCAACACACGCATATGCCTTCTCTGCAGTTCATCTTGAACTGCCTGGTGTTTTTACCACTGGAGTGTCGGAAACCGGGCAGCGCCAGTCGCAAACAGACAAAATGGCTGCCCACCGTGGTCCACCCGTACAGCGCCGGCGTCTGGACAGTGCCGGCCCATCGCACGCTCCAGTCACAATCACAGCTGCAGATACCTCAATTTTCACCGCGCTTCATCAGCACCTGTTCCCTAACCCGACAGCATGCAAAAATTAAAATAAAAAATAAACGCTGCCGGCCACCGGCCGCCGTGCAATAACCCTCTTCCCGGGAATGCTGTTTCCGAGCGGCGGTCGCACGCCGCCCTTATTGCGCCGAGCAAGGCAGCCAATCAAGGCTGGGACAGCGGCACGCCCACGTCCGGCGCGTCCCCGGACCGGTGGTCAATCAAATTAGCTCGAGTGTGTTTGCCGCCGCGTCGTCGGCCCGTTCTGTAGCGGCGTCCGCGCAGACCTGCTCAACAGCACATCGCAATCTGCCGGCGCACGACGCGGTCGCAGCCGACGCCGGATCGGGACGGTCGGCAGGGGTGGGACCCGCTGACCCGGCCGCAGGCTACCCCGGACGGGAGGGGCACGAGTCGGGGTCGGGGTCGGCATGGACCAGCGACGATCAGCAGAGCCGGACCCGCTGACACGGCCGCAGGCTACCCCCGGACGGGAGGGGCACGGTTCGGGGTCGGGGTCGGGGTCGGCGCGGACCGGCGACGATCGGCAGAGCTGGACCCGCTGACACGACCGCAGGCAGCCCCCGGACGGGAGGGGCACGGGTCGGGGTCGGGGTCGGCGCGGACCGGCGACGATCGGCAGAGCCGGACCCGCTGACACGGCCGCAGCCGACCCCGGACGAGATGGGTACGGGTTGGTAAGGATCGGCGCGGACAGGCCGCGGTTGGTAGGACCTGACCTGCTGGTGCAGCACTACCGGTGGTACCGGTGGTCTGCCACGCACTGTGCGTGACAAAGAAAGACGATCGTAAAGTCTCGCTTCAGGCTCGCAGCGTACGGACGGATGCCCTGCTAGGGTGCGGTGGCTGAACAATTGGGCAGATCAGGGAAGGCACTTGTCTACATCAGGCGCACGACCCGACGTCCAATCCTCTTAAACATGAGACAGTGGCGCTGGCTCCAAGCACGACGAGGCATGGAATACTGGCCACTTGTTTGAGGATATGTGGCATTCGGTTCTCAGAACTCCGTGTACATTCGGTTTTGACGAGCGCAGGTCAACTAAACAAATGTCCGGTTTTATTTCACTGCAACGAGGACATAAAAAATCAGTCCGTTAATCTCAACAAATTGCCAACACTTCCACATCCTGCTATTCTTGCGGTTGTCCTCGGCCGTCCAGTATGGGGTGAAATGTCTCCACCATGGAAGCATTGAAATGCGGTCCTCACATTCCAGCGGGCACATGTCACAGCCAGACCCTTCTAGAATTGGCAAAGGTTAACAAACTTTGGAAAAAGCTGTCAATATCATGTCAACATAACCAGTTTTTCAAATATATAATCAAATCAGTTGAAGGTAACTTGGAAACTGTCAATACTTCAAAATAAGCAAGTGTGCTGGCAAACAACAACCATCCTATCAACCTCAAACCCAACACCAAACATGCTTCAGCTTTACCATGGTAACACCTGAGCCACCAACCCGTGTGCAATCAATCGGAAACTTCAAAGGTCTTTCGAAGTGCGAACGTGACACGGGAGTTCACCATTTGTCATCCGCCTGCGACGTCCAAATCAAACACAACCAGGGGGTGAGCGACGCTGAATACACATCGGACATGGCCCAACAACTTACATTCTATAATACAATGGCATCCCGGAGCAGGGCGGGATATTGGAATTATCTGAGATACCAATAAATGTCAATAACCAATACCAACCCACCTCTGCCATAGGAACTTATGAATGACGGCCAACCAATGGGTTTTCTTAAAAGCAAATATAATGAAACAAAAAGCTTAAATGCCCAGCCCAAGTTTTGGGACTGCTTTTCTGATGACGGCAGGCACACCATTATGCGTTGAACAGCACAAATCCAAGCCCACATAAACATGCCTTAACCTCGCCTGGCGAGACAGGTGGTCGCCTCCTTTTTCCCAATATCACCACACGATAGTCTTCAAGGGTCAATAACAAGGTCAATAACCGTTTGCAGCCCCAAAGGAGGCCTGGACCGCCCTTTGACAGCGTGCCGACGGTATAGTGGTTACGCTGCGCGTCTGGGAAATCAGAGGTATGGAGTTCGATTCCCCGCCGTGCCCGCGCTTCCTGCCAGGGAGAAGCAGGCGACACCATATAGCCCTAGTAGCTGAGTGCGATGTAAAGTCATGATGACAAACAACCACTATTTAACACTGAAGATAACCGTGACAACCACTGTGTCCATTTTGTTAAAGTATCGACGTTATTTGGAAAGTCTGAAGTATTCGGCATCAGAACAGTGGGTCCTCAACCACTTAAGTTCACTCTACCCACAGAGCGTTGGTTGTCGAGGTTCTGAGACCGACTCTTTACAGCAAATGTTTCTGACACTGAAGTACACCGCTAAAGCCTTTCAAGTCTCGCAGGCTCCACAAACCGCCTGAAGTACGAAACACGGAATAATAGATCAAGGGCTGGCAAGGTAGCCAAAAAGTTTGCATCTCGCGCATTCAGCTCGTGCGTCACGTGTTTTGACCCCGGCTGGTCTGCACCAGCGGCCCGGGCCGGTCTTATCCCGAACAATCACCGCATTTTGGTCTGCCGTTACCTGGAGGAGCAGAGGCGCGCCCAGCGCCGGGCGGAGCGGAGCTTTACCAACTGGAGCTCGCACATCAAATCAGCTGCTCACGTCCTATCAGGCGCGCCAACCATGCTTAGAAGTAGGCTCATAAGATTGTTAAGCTGCAACCTCAGCCTACGGCCCCTCTTTGCAATGTAAATGGGGCTAAGTTGCATTGAGACATTGAATGGATGTTTATGAGCAAGGAGTTAATTTCGTGGCTGTTCATGTTGGGGCCACATGCAAGGGTATGCGTGTCCCCGGTTTACCGCGCGAATGAAAACCACTCCCACCTGGCAATGGCTAAAGAAACAACTTTGCTATGCGTTGTACTGCGCTAAGTACCGTTTCCTCATGCAACTAATTTAAAACATCGTCTTACGTAATCGACGCCGAAGGCGCCGGTAAAAAGTTGAAAATCACATCATATGAAACAGCTTTCGGACTTGCCAATAGAAGAAGATTGCTTTTGTTTACTCGCCGTGCTTGGCAACATTGCCCGACAAATCAAGGAAGCATCATCATCTTTGACATTTCGAGACCGTGAAACGCCACACTGAGACTGATCTCAAATTATATATCGCGGACACCATTACGTTCGGCCAAGCACAAAAAGGCAAAGCGCTAGAGCCGCAGATCTTACCCATGAATCCATCATCATCCAAAAACGTTTTGCTGACAAGCTTGCGCCTGTGTCTGGGCGTTGCGTCTTGGAGGGCAGGTTTCTCGTCGTCCGAGTCCAGCGTCACCTGCTGCGGCTCTGGCTCTGGCTCTGGCTCTGGTTCTGGCTTCTCTGCGGAGGTTGAGCCAGTAATAAAGTCAAGAGAAAATCTATGGGGACCGCCACTGAACATGTTAAACGAGAGTCTGCGGCTCAGCTGTTATGGACACAAATCGCCACAACTGGAACGGGACGTGCGTCAGTGCTGAATGGCACGAAACAAACTGAGGTCATGTAAACGCGCAGACAGTGGGGAACCTAGAGAAACACATTCGTCCATGTGTTGCCACATGCCCAACTGGTTTGACATCAAGCTTCTTCGGGAAAAGGTTTCATTTCTGTTCTTAACTCAACTGAACGATGTTTCTCGGCGTTGTTCCCATCCCCGCGGGGTATCTCCCAGGGCACTTCTCACCCAGCGGGCTGTTTCGGGGCCACACCCGCGTCCCCCAGCGGTGTTCCCCCGTCTTTCTCGCTCTCTCTCGTCCCCGGAGTTAAATCCCGTCACCAGCTCGTCCCGGTACGTTTCCCAGCGCTACCTTCGTCGGCGGAGCTGTCGCTGCTGTCGGACACCAGCGCCACGATGCGGCGACGCTTCTTCTCCCGGCCGCCGTTCGCCTTGGTGGCGCGCTTCTGCCGACCGGCGCCCCTCTTGGCGCCGAACCTGACGGTCGGGCTGGCAGCGGCGGTGCCCTCGGCCGCGTCCGGGGAAACCGGGCGGCGGGCCGGCACCGGCTCCGGCTTGGCCGGCGGCGGGGAAGCCGGCCGCTCGGCACCCTTCTTCAGGAAGCTGGCCATCATGCCGACGTTGGCGGGCTTCTTCGGTGGGCTTTTGACCTGCGGACAGCAGACACTAGCATTACTCTGTGTTGAGCAGTCCTCTATCCACGACACTGGGCGCGCTTACCGTCATGCATATCATGCAAAACGGTCGGCATTATCTGCATGCGATAGAGAACGAACATTTTATCCCCGACTGTGATGGACTTCCATCGCCAAACGCGAAGTGGACACCAAGCGACCCTTCCCGTGTGCATTGATGGTTTTTCATAACATATTTCGGGACTTCGTCCTCCCGAATTCTCCCGAAAGAGACGAATTTGACATTAATCATCAAAGCTATACTCAGACACCAGGCACGCATCTACTGAAGCACCGAATTTAACGCAGCAGACAAAGTTCACGACCAACCGAACCCTAACGTCGAAAGGCTGTCTCCTCAAAGCTGACCACTGAATGGCGAGCGACCAGCACGCCACACATGCCATCGCACCTTATCAGAGCCAGTCTTGGCGAACATGGACTCGATGGTGCCCCGCTTCGGCGCCGCCGCCGGCCGGCCCTTCTCCTGCTTCGGTGCCGCCGCCTCATGGCCTGCATTCGACCCTGTCGCCTCCTGATTGGTTGCCTTCGGCTCAGACGGCTCCTGATTGGCTACGGCAGGCGGCTTTTCTTTGGCGGGCGCCGGCCGAGCCGGTGCTGACGTCACAGTAGTTGTCGCCTGACGAGCCTTCAGTAGTTCGGCCTGAGGGATCAGCTCGGCCCGCGGGTTGCTGATGGCGCCGTGTCTGGAGCAAGAGCCCACACAAAAACGACGGTCAATCGGAGCACAGAACAGGAGCAATAACTAACAGTGAAAGGCCGAGCCAAGATGATCATCACACAGGGGCATGGGCCAGGGTTTTCCCTTCAACTGAAGGAAAACCCTGAGCAACGAAGCATCTGAAAATGGTCACCTCATTCCCAAGGGCCGCCCTTTCTCCTAAGGAAGCCAAGGAAAAAGCAGATGATTCAGGCCATCGAAGCATGTGATATGGCTTAATGCCCGAGGACATCACGCATTTGCGGAGCGCCAACATTGGGACACTGCCCCGTAATGCGAGCGGCTTAGACCGCCATGCGCAGATGGGCCTCACTTGTTGTAGGCCACGAAGTCGGCGCGCTGCTCCTGCAGGTCGGCGCCGAACAGGACATTGGTGTGGCACACGCGCTGCCGCTGCAGGCTGTAGAGGTGTTCGGAGGTGACGGAGCTCAGCGCGCCGCGGGCCGCCGCCAGCCGGTCCTCGGTCACCACGAGCGCCTGCGGCGCACAGGCCGGTGTCTCGACATCGCTGGCGCCTGCAGCGCGCACAGACATCCCTCAAGACTGCCGCCGTCTGTAGCAGTGACTCTAAACCTCTGTCAACACCTCGCCTTTCAACGATTACAGAGACATTTTTCGAGAACACCACAGCAAGCAGCAGATTGACGCGAGGCGCGTGCGTCGCCTCTGCGTGTATATCTCGTGACTACTGACGCCTGGCAAACGTCCATGCATTTTCCACCACCCCTGATGCCTGATGCATGCAAGCGCATCTCAAGACTTCTGCCGCCGGCAGTGTGGCAGTGTTATATATGTACTGCGTAACACCGCGTGGGTTATCATAGCACATTACACACAGGTCACCAACCAGTCTGCCTCCAAAAAGCAATCGCATGGCATCATTTGGATAGCATAATGTGGTGCATAGATCACAGAGTTCAAGTAAAGCACCTTTCACGGCTCGAAAAAAATACTGGTGTCACAAATCTTGATAATGCCAAACACCTTTTTTACAAAAGCTTGCTGACTTTTCTGCACCAATCAAAACAATTGCTGCCGCCTTTGACTGACCTTATGGCATGCATAGTCGCCCTCCTCGTGGGTCAGTCCGGACACAAAGTATGTTGCAGTCACCTCATCGTCACCCTTTCCCTGGCACTGCTTCCACAATGACTGTAGATGTCTGGAAGGTTGGGCCAACAGTGGTGTAAGCTGAATGAGAATGTTACACCATTGCATGATCACAGCAATTTCAGTAAAGGGTGATGAGTACAAACATGTCCAGCAAAATATGATGAGTCAGACATGTCATCAGCTATGCATGTGCATATTCAAGTGAAACATTGCTGAACTGCTCACATGTTAGGCATCACAGAGGACCAACATCATTTTCAGTGAAAAGGAATGCTGTCACTTATATTTTCATTTGTGCCATCACTAATCCTCAAAAACCACCAAGGAACAACCAAAATGCATACACTAAACAAAATAATAAATCAAGAGCATATCCTAGTGTGTGCTGTTCTGCTAGTGGCTGTTGCTCTGTTCTGCTGATAAGAAACAGTTGTCAATTTCAGGAATACAATACTGTTGAGGATGGCCACTGCTCACTTATCACACTAAAACATTCTTGACACTGAATTCTTGGAAAAATGTGGGTCTCCACCCAGCCAATGGCTTGAACACACAAACAATCATTACTAGTACTAAGTGTAAAAATTAACTCATGCTTACTCTTTTGCTTCATTGATGTGGATGTCAAAGTTGGCACTAACAAACTTGTAGGTTATCTGCAAAATGGATATGTTAGAGTACCACCATGATGTATTGCCACATGATGAAGATGATAATCTTGTCATATAATGTCAGCTAAGTTATTATCAAAAACAAACTTGATCAAATTGTAATAAGCAAGGACATGAGCCTCTGTTCCCCTCAGTCTTGCTTCAGGTGGCAGATGCTTGTCTTGGTCACATCACTGGGCTGTAGTGCAGCCATCTGCAGTTAACTATCTACTGCCACTGCCTGCTGACTAATTTGAATGCTTTGACTCAGACAGGGCCCACATAGTGGCAATTCCTACGATGAGCAACTGCAAATGCGCAACATTATTAACAAACTTAGTACGTACAACATAAAACACCATGCTCTTACCACACGGTTATCCTCTTCAAGAAGAAACTGGAGCTCCTCCAGTATTTTTCCACTCTCCATACCCATAGCTAACTAGATGCACTTCATATATTTTTAGCCCAGGCAGACTCTGAAACAGAATATTACATCCAATCCAAGCACCTCCTATTATCAGCATATTTCTAAAGAATTGCAAAGACATTCTGAAATTTCATAATGGCCTTTCTTCTGAACTACCTATACAGAAGCCTTGTAGATGGTACATGCAGATCTCTATATAGATTGATAGTACATGCAGATATCTGGCTCTCACCATAATGCTAATCATAAACATAACCACTAAAATACACACACTGTGAGACTATTGCACCATTGCACCAATGCACCATTGTAAGACTGTGCTTGATCAATAGATGACAAACACAAATACCAATTGATGTCTGATGCACAATGACCACTACTTGCAATGCAGAGCAACATTTCAAAAAATTGTGGTGGCACAAACAATTTCAAGCAGAATGTTGAAAAACTAAAAACCAAAGGCAAAATTTGGCCTCTCCTGAGTTCGGCACACATGGGTAAGAGGTTCAGCACATTGATGCCTCGTAAGCGTCCAGCAAGGTAGATTAATTTTCTGCCGGCTGGCCCCAATACACTCTGGCACATTACCCAGCATCCGCATACACTTCACCCTTCCCTCCGAATGGTGCTTATGTCAGGCATGCGCGAATATTACCCCACGTAGTACCACCCCGTGGTTACCTAAGGGCGTTGATCTGCCCGAATCCTGGGAAAATAAATATATCTCCAACGCGAGATGGTTCACCAATGTCACGTTCCCTGCGCCGCGGGTATGGCTTCCGCGCTACGCGCCAATTGTGTTTGCCTATTGTGCGTTATAAATGACGCAAAAGATTCCAAATACAAAATATTTGCAAAGAAGTGTGGAAGCAAATTTTCCCTTTATGAAAGTGCAGATTCCAGTACCAATATATATGCTTGTAAGTGGAAGCAAGTAAGAGATATCATGCATTGATTAATAGCAAGACGTCCCGTGAACGCATGGATTTCGACCCAGAGTGCGGAAAGGCAGCTCCATCTTGCGAGTTGTTTTGATGTCGGCGAACGCCAGGTGCGGATGCGAAGTGCCAACGCTTCCTAACCGCACGCTACCAAGGGGCGTGGATTAGATATCTAGTGACTAGGATGCTTATTAGAAAGCTATTTGTCACTACCATCTCACGACCTCGCGATGTTACTGGCATCTGCCACACTTCCCCCATTCCCGCAACGTCATTTACGATAGTTGATGTGGCGACAATGCACCAGGCGAAACACGGTCCGGGTGCACTGGGGAGCCACAGCACGGGGTGAACAACGTGTGAGACACAGAACAGCGCCATCAGCCGCCAACGGCGGTCGCACATCCCAAGCCAGGTCGGGACAAGCTAAGCTAGAACGGACCGTGGCGAACTGAACCGAACTGAACTGAGACCAACGGAGCCGAATCAAACCGCAGCGAGCTGAACCGAACTGAACTGAGACCAATTGAGCCGAATCGAACAGCGGCGAGCTGAGCCGAACTGAACCGCGGCGGGCTGGAAGAGTTTGCATTCCAGTGCGTTCCCGCGTCAGTTCAAGTGCTAGTTCCAGTGTCGGTTCCAGACGCAGCACGCCGCAAGCAGAGGCGTACTTGCGTGCTGGGCGTTTGCGCCGGGTCGCCGTTGTCAGAGTGCTACACGGCCGGGCGGGTCCGCTGCAACGGCCGGCACGGGCGGGACGTCTGTGCGGTTAATGCACCACGACTACGTCCGGTCGTCAACGAAATAACGCTACTTGTTACATTATTTTTTCTACGCGTACTATTGTCCGCAACCGAGTTAGAAGGGTGCCTGTCACTGCCATCTCATGGCCGCGTGGTGGTTAGGTTGCGAACAAAGGTGAGCATAGAAAAACATTGAGTGGCGATTGCTCGTAGGATAAAGTTTGTGCGTCTTAAGTCAGCCAGAATAACGCACGGAGGGTTTCATATTTGCAGCGTTAAAGACTGGAACATAAAATGTTGCATAGGATAAAGCGCACGGACGTTTAGGTCACGGCGTCATGAACGGCTCGGTTCAGCTCGGTACGCAGTTTGGGGCGTCGCCGCCAGGTGGCAACGACAGTGGTGGCTGGTGCGGCCGCCAGGCATGTGGTCAGAGCTGTGCCCCGGTTATCGGGGCACTCCGCACCGTGGCTTCTCTGAGACTGGTCCTTGGGTATCGGTCTGGGAGCGGGGATCAGCCTTCTTTTGTTTTGTGCTGGCAGTTATTCATACAAAATTCAAACCGTTCAAAGTCCGCGTAGCATATGGGCTTACATTCATTGCATTCATGATGATGGGCGTGAAAACCATGCGTATATTTTATTCCTTTATGAGGGGGGGGGGGGGAGTGCCGAGGATACTCTGTGGAGGGCATTAAAATGTGCATCGTTGATCAGCTGCCCCGTTTGAGATGTTACCCTGCCATCTCTCACCCTGACCATGTCTGTTTCGACGTCCCCACCTGACGCCCCACGTGACGCCTCCTGAGCGCGCCACTGACGTCAGCTGACAGCCGCGGCGAGTCAGCTGGATTGCGGAATACGGCGCGCAGGCGCGCAAATGGCACCCGGTATACGACTGCTTATTATAACAGAAAACAGAACCAAGGGAAAGGGATACATCCGCCGTACCAGATTTCATGCACCGACTTGGATTCGGACCTTGTTGGCACTCGATCCAAAGATGCCGCAGGCTATCACATGTTACAGAGAAGGCAGTGTAGAGCTCGAAATGAGTCAAACCTAATGCCTTAGGTCATCCAGCGGAAACAAAATTTCATCGAAATCTGAGAGTTGACGGCGCATAATGGCACCTGGGTGGACGATGTGTCCTGGAATATTCTTTATTGGAGTATAATCTATACAAACCTGCTACTCTATGACCAATGCTTATTCAACTTTGCGTACGTACGTTTATCAAACAGGCCTTCTCCGTTACGAGCCTTTACGTGCGTGCGATTCGTTCGAACAGTTGTCTACGCGCAACGCATATGAGCTTTTTCATGCGAACTTTTATTAATACGAATATTCTGCAGACGCAATTTACATCATACAAACATTCGCTTACAACCTTTTGCGTACGAATAATCGCGTATAGACGTTTGTGTCCATACTTTTGCCATGCGAATTTTGTATCTTACATACGTATGCTCTACGAACAATTGCGCGCATATTTTATACGTACGTACGTTTGTACCAAAACTAGATATCGCCTGTCATCGCCGACTTGAAGGCCAAAGTTCTGATTAAAAAAGTGCACATGCCTTCAGTGCGTACGCATTTGTTCGCTAAAGATGCACGTAAGGCGTTTATTTTTATCACAGAAGTGCACAGGCAAAAGTTCGTTGACGGAAATCGGTATGCAAGTGTTCTCATGATATCATATGATATATATATATATATATATATATATGGAATGGAAATGGAATAACCTCATAGGCATTGATCTCGTAGTTATAAGTTTACATGGACAATGCTCTTATGGGTAGTGTTGAAGAACAGACCAACCACCCAGTTAGCAAACTGTGGACCGCCAGCTTTCAGGTTTGACTGAAATTGGATCTCCGCGGGATTATTCAAGACGTAAAATATGACTGCGACTTTCAGCGTTATCTAGCGCACAGATTAAGAGTTGGCTGCAAACATGGTTGTAATATAAAGGGATGTATCGAGGGAACGCATCGAGTCCATCCTTTTTTGGACACTGGGCTACTTTACATCAACGAACGTACAGCAGGCGTCGCAGGCGCGTCTGTCCGTCGCACTCTGCAAACCAGCTGAGCCCCCTCATCCGTCAGCTGGCGTCAGTGGTGCGCTCAACAGCCGCAGGCGAGGGGCCTCGACACAGGCGTCACCTCCAACACCCTCTCTTCTTGATGCTTCAAAGCATTCGCAGATAACGATATTTGGTTCATTTCTAACACAGGTCTTGCCAAACCACCTGTCGGCGAGCTGAAATACTACAAATGAGTCAGCCCGCAACGTACGGGGATTATTCTGACGCCGCCAGTCTGGCAGTGATCCTGACGCTATAAAAGCGCTCCAGGACATAATCAAACAATGACGTATTGAGGAGCATATTTACAACAACAAAAAATCAGTTTTTTCCGAGAGCAGTATTTGTTCTTTAAATAATACCAATAGTTACGAATGAAATTGCCCCACCATATCTGAAGCTTTCCTCAACATCTTCAAACGTGGAACATTCTCTATAAGCAGTTCACCGTTTATCCGTTTAAACAACGCGTCAAGTTAGCATGTTGTCTTTTTTACGTGACACCCTTTTACACTTCGCCATTCTGGTTTGTCGACTTTGTGATATGTGGCCCTTTTTGCAGTTAATCATGACACCTTTTGGTTTTTTGGCATGTCGCCAGTCTTTCATGTCGCCATTTTTCAATTTGCCATTTAGCCGATTTGACTTTTTGTCACGCCGACTTATTTGCAAGTCTTCAATATGAAAGTCGTCATATGACAGCCGACAGTAAGCATTAAAGCAAACTGGAGGCCGACTATTTGTCCGGACCACAAATACCGACGTCGTGAACACATTGTGTTGAGAGATTTATGATGTGTGTCTGCAGCTGTTCTAGTGCAAGATGCGAATAAAACGTCAGTCGCTTTCTGCCCTCTTTTCTCCGTAGAAGGAAGGGGACGGGAATAGTTGGCCAGTAACCAGAATCATAGGCACTTGACGCAGCTGTCATAAAGGATCGTATAGGAATTCTCATTACATCAAGTCTTGAAGAAACTTGTGTTTTTGTTGTTCCCACTCAACACGCGCATGGGTGGCCGGTTGGATGCCCTTCGCTCGGGTGGAGTGGAGGGTCAATTTCCTCCCCCCCCCCCCCCCAGAGATCTCGGGAATTAAGAGAGGTAGAGACATCAAATTCACAGAGAGCGTTGACCTGTACATGAACTCTCTTAGTCCAAAGTTGGAGGTTTCTAGGCCAAGCCTTCAGGTCAAATAAGGTCCAACAAGGTCATATTCCAGATTTGTCTCCAAAGAGCCCCTAGAGCCTAGGCAATCGTTCTAAGAAAAATGTCACACGCTCAGTTAAGGCCAGTGACCTTGTTTTATTTTTAACGCGCGGCCGGGTGGCCGGTTGGATACCCTTCACTCGGGTGGAGGGGTCAATTTGACCCCCACCTGAGATCTCTGGAACAAAGAGAGCTAGAAACACCAAATCCACAGGGTGTGTTGACCTGTACGTGAATTCACTTGGGTCAAAGTTTGAGGCTCCTAGGTCATGACCTTCAGGTCAGATAATGTCAGAAAAGGTCAAATTCCAGATGGGCCTCCAAAGGGCCGCTAGAACCTAGGCAACTGTTCTAAGCAAAATGCCACATGCTCAGTTAAGTTCAGTGACCTTTTCTGACCTTTTAAAGGTCATGATGACCAACATGATATAAGACTGTTCTGAGCTTTGCATTTGGATAAGCGACAAATATTACGCTAGACAGTGAGCTCCTAAAAATAAAATGTTGACCTGGGTCATTTTAGTGGCCTACTCTGACCTATAAGAAGTCAATGGAAGGTGTATAATGCGGTTCCTGCTATCAATATATTCGAAATGAGTACCAGAAACCAGCCCATACAGCAAGCCCGATAGTAATAAAACATGTTGGTTTTGACCTTGATCTAACCTTCATCTCTGACCCTAGGTCAATGCTATTTGTTTATTCAATTGTTATGTTGCATAAGAAAGTATCTCGGAGATGTCTGGCTTCGTCTAACACTCCGTTGTTTGATCGGATTGAACGATTCACTAAAACGTGCCTTCGCTGAAACCATTACCTGACCTTGACCTGCCATAGGTCTGCGCCCTTACAAGGTACATATACATTTTTGATGTCAGACGATCCACTATTTAACTCTCTACAGCTCTGCAAAATTTGGTGTGGCTACGCCGCGCCGTTTGGAAACTATTCCGGGGAAACGTTCTTGGGGGGCAATTTGCAGTTGCAGTTCGCCATTTTGCCGAATCGAATTTTTGAAATGCCGACATTTTACATGTCGCCAGTATGGAAGTCGTCATTTAGCAGTCGACAACCAGGCATTCAGGAAACTGTGAGTCGACTTTTTGTCCGGACACCGTACCGTTCGCCCGCACAATGTTGACTGAAGGTCTGCTGCACTAACACCGCACAGCCGCGGATGAAAACTACTTCATACTTACCATGCAACAGTAGTTGCTCACGCCCACAAAGGAAGCGGAGGTTGTTGCTGAGGCTTTATCAAAGGGAGGGAAGGCTGCCTGTTTCACCAGTCTTGGCAATAGCAAAATGTGCTACCAATTCGTGATTGGTCGATGCACGGTTCATAAAGCTCATTTTACTCTGCAACAAAAGGGCGCTTGAGATGCGTGCTGAAATATCAAAACATGGGTAAGCCATGTCAAAGTCCCAGATATCGTATATATCTGCCCGTCCCGATGGCTCAGTTGGTAAGAGCGCCCGGCTCCCAATTCATCCACCCATCGTGGGGTGAGTTTAGAGTGATTTTAGGCGCTCGCTATTTGCCGTGGACAGGTATGGCCTGCAGCCAACGGCAGCGACCGCGTTAACGGTCAGACGACGTCAGAGGGCCGGACGAATCGTGCCGACCTTTGCGGCACGTCAAGCTTTTTCACTAAATGACTTTCCGTTGACCTGGAATTGTGCGATCGGATGATAGGGGTCAGGGCTCACACGACAAGCACTGCTTAGCGTGAGCTCTGATCAAGAAATCCATCCATTCAAAACGTTGGGATTTAATTTTTAAAACATAATCTTTGCACGTTTTAGGTGATAATTGTTCTTCGAGGCCTTAGCATATCAAACTAAAACCACGGAAACGGTATTTTCTAATTTTTAAAGCACCCTTAAAATGGAACGATGTTATTTTTAGGTGGCGCTGCGTGAACAAACAAGGTAAACAAATCGTTCACCTTATCCAAAAGTCATCAAGCGGTCCACTACCGCAAGATATTTGGCGCTGGTGTCACATGATTCGCATGCCTATAAATACGATCAATTAGTTTACATTTGATGACGCGCTTTTGGTATCACTTGTAGCACAGGTAATAATCAGACATCTTAGTGAGCTCCTCAAATATTACAGCAATTTAGTGTCATTGATTCAGGCAGCATGCGTTCACGTGGTGTGGTTTCAAAACTGACGCAGTGCGTTTCCCCCGGCGTGCGTTGGGCCCTTGGGGATCGGGCTGCATTGTGAGATATTGGTGGGAGTGAATGGGGTTTTGGATATTAAATCATATGGAACTACTCTGCCGTATTAACTAGACGAAGCATTCGTGCAGCTGCCAGCTACAACGGTGCGTACATGTTGCTGGCTGTGATGGAATTAGTGGTAAATTGAGAGGAGGCGTGACCTACGTTCCCGTGGTGGGCTTATTGACATCGAAGTTTAAAGCTATTCACGTTTGGCATGATGCACCCCTTAATATTATCTTACTAATATAATGCATGTTGGTGTGGATGTTGCGATGGCACTAGCTCATAGTTTGCCTGTGGTTTGGTTTCTACAGGTGTTGGTGTTTTTGTAAAGTTTTTGGATCTTGTTGATTATTTGTGCTTTTCGTAATGTAATACGGCTCCAGGAGTTACTTAATTTCCAATTCCATGTAATTTTGTCCATGTGCATGCATGCCCAAGTTGTGAATATGTCCAGCATAACAGTATGACCACATGAACAGTTTCATTTTGCCCTCACCTGAACTAGATTTAGCCAACTGTATTTAAACAAACCAGTTTGCATTCATTGTGGATTGATTTGTTGAATGGCTTCATTTTTGGGCAGCATGCTATTATAAATTTAAACTCATGTACCTAAAGGTTTGCCCGTGTATTCTTTTACTTTTCCTCAGATATGGGTGCATATATAACTCCTTTGTTGTTAAGCATTTAATACCAATGATGGTCAATGGCTGTATATTTATAATTCTCTCATAATTTTCCAAAGCAAGAAGCAAAACTCCAAGCAAGTGGCATCAAACACCATGCACTAGGCCTTACCAGGCTTGGCAGCTTGGAACTTACAAAATAAGAAGCCAGAGTGAAACCTGTCATATTAAAATCACAAGATTCCAGGTGAAGCTGTGTCTAGTGCCCAATATTGTTTTGAAAAACAACCAATTTCCAACTAACTGTATGGGATCACAAAATGTGATGCAGGCTCCATCGGAGGATTAAGACAAGGTTGGCATTTGGATAAAATATTTTTCCTTCTTCTTACTTATGTGCACTTATATGCATGGAGCAATTTAAACTGTCAGTTCCCCAGCTATCATCAGATGTTCACTGGCCTGAAGAAAGATGGGCTGGCTTTTGGCTTTCACCATGTTCACTGGGCAACCAAAATTTTCTTCTTGTAACTACTAGGATTCAAACCAGGGTCTTTGTATTATGAATCCAACATTCCTTCACTGAGTAACTTTGATGAACTTACCTGTAATGTTAGTCGCTTAAAAGGATGGATAAGATTCTAGATAGCCTAGTTGAGTGGTTGGTGCTGACTTCAGCTTGGCATTATGACATGCAATAAGCTATGCCATAGCAACAGCCGTTAAGGGTAATTGATCATAACATTTTAAAATGTTTTCTATGCATAATATGCTACTCATATGCAAGCCAGAAATGACAAACAAATAGGAAGATAGGCAGGTTATGCCACAGTTATGACCATGCCCAACAGAAGAAAGGCAGGTAATGTCTTGGTCATGACCATGCCTTCATAGGGTGAGCACTGGTGTGAAAGTCATACCATTGGAGGCCCATACTCCATCCATGTGTTGCAAACCTCCCTCAGATAGTGCCAGATGAAACCTCAATCAGTATTGAACCCATGCTGTCATGTTGATCTCAGTTGCATGTACCTTTTAGACATGTGCCACCATTGATGTGCTTGCATGTTTTCTCAGATGGATAGCGCTACCAAGGCAAAGAAGAAATCCAAGTCCCTGGCAGATGTTCAGCATGAGGGAAACTTCAAGTTGGAGCCTTCCTCAGAGCCAGCTAAATTGGACTCATCTCAATGGCCACTTCTACTGAAGGTAATGGGTTTAATTTGGGCCAGGGATGGTTTCCTGTTCAGGTGGGTGAGCCCCAGCCATTCCCCTGACACACTCACACTTGGAAAGGGCAAGAGAAGATGAAGAAAATGTTTGAGGAGGAACACATTTGTAGCATATTTGCATATTTTGAGGTTAAATTTAACCATTAACCCCCCCCCCCCAACATTGCATGCTGTGCAATGCTGCAGCATGGCTGCATTGGACCTGGGTTGATCCTCATTGCCCAATTGCCAACTAAACTTTCCATCTCTGCTCAGCCAAACAACATGCCCAGCCTTGGGATTCATGCCCAGCTTCCGCTGGATGACAGGTCCAGCACTTTTCCCCAATACCATGGAAACATCTGGATCATTTGATTGCTTGTTATCACCTTTGGTTCTATTGGTAGGTGGGCTATAGATGTTATCACCTGCATCACCAAATGTCCACTGACGGTTGCTTCGCTAGTTATGAGCTTGGAGTTCGTATGTTGACAGAAATTGACCTTTAATAGTGCATGGAGGTCCTGGATATGACGATGCTGTCAGGCATACATCGGTATAAACATAGCCCATGATATACGCTTTCTCGAATTAAAGAAAAAAAACTTGCATTTTCTTTCACTGGTGTGACTGCTAAGTATGTTATCTCTTGTGGTCAGAATTTTGACAAGCTGAACGTGCGCACCAACCACTACACACCGCTGCCGGAGGGCCACTCGCCGCTGCTGCGTCCGCTGGCCGAGCACCTGAAGGCTGGCTTCATCAACCTGGACAAGCCGTCCAACCCGAGCTCGCACGAGGTGGTGGCCTGGGTGAAGCGCATCCTGCGCGTCCAGAAGACGGGACACTCGGGCACGCTGGACCCCAAGGTCACGGGTAAGCGAGTCCGGCGCGGCGGCTGGCGGGCTCACACCCCGGGCCACGGGTGGACGACTGCTCTCCGCCCACCACTGTGGGCTGTTTTCCCTCCTCCCCCGACCGGCCCCTTCTCGGGGTCCAGTTCAAACTGGCGCCGGCCTCCCAGACGGACTGGAGCTGAGTGGAGCAGGAGGGTCAGCAGATGCGTTGAGTTCTGACTGTTGGTCAGCGGTGCCGGGCGCTCTGGTTGTGTTTCCCTTTCCTGGCCTGAGTTCTGACTGTTGTGCAGCCGTGCCGGGTGCTCTGGTCGTGTTTCCTGTCCTGGCCTGAGTTCTGACTGTTGTGCAGCTGTGCCGGGCGCTCTGGTCGTGTTTCCCTGCCCTGGCCTTGTCCAGGTCGACCGTTGTCAGGAGGCGGGGCGGACCGTGTAGTCAGACCACCTGCTGATAAGGCCGGCCCTGCGTGTCGCACTGCACCGCTCCCAACTGTACGCGGCCGTGCGGAGCCGCTCCCGAAGCGCGGCTGACCTCACCTGGCCTGACCTGACCTCGCCGCCGTCTCGGCTCTGCCAGGCTGCCTGATTGTGTGCATCGAGCGCGCCACGCGACTCGTCAAGTCGCAACAGAGCGCCGGCAAGGAGTACGTCTGTATCTTCCGGCTGCACTCAGTGGTCGACAATGTACAAAAGGTGCGTCGACTTGCCACACGTGCGGCATACCGTTGGTGCGTCAGCGCTGTTCGGCCATCAGCAGGCGCCGAGGGCAGCCTGTGGTGACCCTCTGTCGCCGTGTCGGACTGCGGTATGCGGCCTTCGGCGGGCGCCGCGGGCGACCTGCGACGGCCCGTTGTCGCCTTGCTGGGTTACGATGTGAGGCTCACGACAAGGTATGTTTTCCCTGTGGCCGGCACGCGTGACCCGCGACCGCTGACGCCCGCGCCGTGCCCGCCAGGTGAAACAGTGCCTGGAGCGTCTGAAGGGCGCGCTTTTCCAGCGGCCACCGCTCATATCGGCCGTCAAGCGGCAGCTGCGCGTGCGCACCGTCTACGACAGCAAGCTGGTCGAGTACGACGCGGAGAACCAAATGGGTGGGTGCCGGCGCGGCGGTGGCGCCGCGCCGCCGGCCGTGCTGTGGGCAGGGTGGCGCACGTGGCGCCGTCTAGCGGACCGACACCCGCACATCCTAGCTTGGGCCTGGCCGTGCAGAGTCACGGTGCTCGTTCGTATGCGCCTTCATTGCCTTCCCTCCGTTGATTGTGGACCGTCGGGTGGACGGATCGCGTGGCATCTCCGCTACTGGGCAGCCGCGCCAGCCGGTGCTTGCGTGTGCAGGCTTTTCCGTTCTCAGAAGGTCCTGGTTATTGCTATTCTCTCCAGTACGGCTTGATCGACACCGAGGATTCTCTTGATGCGGACGCGTGCGTGCATATTGAACGTTGTACCTTCTCCGTTGATGAGTTAAGATGTCCACGTATTTGCCATGTAACATAAGCCTGTATGCCATAAGCCTTGGCGACCTGCACATGTTAAGCTGCCACAGCAGCCTGCCTTATTTGGGCACCAGCTCTCCATCCGCCATTGATGCCTGTATGTGACGACCCGTTCTGGTCGGGCGGCAGGCATCTTCTGGGTGTCGTGCGAGGCAGGCACGTACATCCGCACCATGTGCGTCCACCTGGGCCTGTACCTGGGCGTCGGCGGCCAGATGCAGGAGCTGCGCCGCGTCCGGTCAGGTACGTCAGCCGCTGCTGGTGACCGTTCGCGGGCACAGCAGGCTCCTGTAACCGCACCGTGTACCGTTTGCACAGGTGTCTTGTGTTTTGCAGTGGGTATCTCGTGAGGTGTACTGCTGACCTAATCACAATGTGATTAAGAACGGTACGGGCCCTGACGCGAGTACGGCCTAAGATGGGTCGAGAATCTGCCGTGCACGCGCATGCCGTTCCCCCATCGACTGACCGCCTCGCTCGCCAACAGGCATCCAGAGCGAGAAGGCCGGTATGTACACGATGCACGACGTGCTGGACGCCCAGTGGCTGTACGACAACCACAAGGATGAGTCGTACCTGCGCCGCGTCGTGCAGCCCATGGAGGCGCTGCTCACCTCTCACAAGCGCATCATCATGAAGGACAGCGCGGTGAGTGGCCGGCGCCGCGCCGCCCGGCCGGGTGACCCGCGCCAGCTGCTGACGCTAGCGGCTCGGTGCTGAGAGGTCAAGCAGCGGCTGCTGGCCGACGGGGCGTGCCGATGCACCGTAGGTTACGGGGATAGCTCAGATTCGCTACTGTAGGGCAAACCGTTTTGTATTCCTGTTTTCCATTCCAAAAACGCTTTGTATCCCAAAAACGCCTTGTATTCCTTGTGTCCTGCCATGTCCTTTTCCCTGATATGAAACCTGATACTTGCATGCATTGCACAAGCCTGATAATTGCACGCATTGCACAAGAACGCAACGAGGCCGTGCGGCAGGAAATCGCCCCGTGTGTTTTGTCGCGCCTGACTCGGGACACGACCCGTCTCATGTTCTCACACTGCCGCTGACGTCACTGGCGCTGCCCCGCCAGGTGAACGCGGTCTGCTACGGCGCCAAGGTGATGCTGCCGGGCGTGCTCCGCTACGAGGACGGCATCGACGTCAACGAGCAGATCGTCATCGTCACCACCAAGGGCGAGGCGGTCGCGCTCGGTACGTCCGTCCGCTCGGACGCGGGGCGAGGGGACCGGTGGACGGTGCGGCGCGCGACGCCGCCCTCGACCGCCGGCGGTGGGCCGCGCCGCTCGCGCCAGCCGCCGCTGCCGTCCGCCCCGGCGGCCGGTTGGTGTCCTGTCGTTGGGGAGGACGGTTCACTGGTGAGCGTCCGCTCCAGGCCGCCCCGCGTCGTGAGTCCGGGACGGGAGTTTGTCGCGCTCCTGACCCGAGCCGTGCGGCGAGTGCACCGGCCACGCCGTCCGCGCCCTTGGTGTGTGTGGAGTCTCCTCTGTTCAGGGCGTGACCCGCCATCCGTTCCATCGCAGCGATCGCGCTGATGACCACGGCCACCATGGCGTCCTGCGACCATGGCGTTTGCGCCAAGCTGAAGCGGGTCATCATGGAGCGAGACACGTACCCCCGCAAGTGGGGACTGGGACCCAAGGTAAGCGCGACGCAGCCGGCCGGCCTGGCGCGGACGGCCACCTTGCCTCTGAAGACTCGGCAATGTGCGATGAGGTTCTCTTCTCCAAAACGCTCTCTTTCTCTTTTCCAAAACGCAGTGTGGCCATCCATCATCAAAACGCATGTGGCTTTTCCAAAACGCGCCCAGTGTATCGGTGCCGATGGGCAGTTGTAGTTAATAGAGCAGGATGCCGGGCGGAGCGGTGGTACCAACAAAGTAAGTGGGATGTGAAAACTCTTTTTGGGGTTAAAAACGCGCACATTTTCAGCATGTTGCCATGATTGCCATGATGCCAGTCTCACTTCATCGGAATTTGCACCGTTTAAATCAAAGTGTGGGTCCTGCGGGAACGGGTAGGTCGTGGTGTTAGGTTGATTTGTGGCATCGTTTAAGTCGGTAACGTTGGGCGAACGCGAGGCACAAAATGACGACGCATTTGCGCGGAATTCGTTGGCATTGAAAAGCTGCTTTTTGTAATGCGATTTGTGTGCTCGTTTTAGGAGGCATATAGTCGAATTTACGCTTGATAGTTGCAGTTTGTGCATATTTTATACCTTCTTGTATGAGTTGAACTCAGTCAACTCAGATGAGTGCGGTCAGGAATATTAGGGCCCAGCCAGCACAGGTTGGCAAAACAACCAACGACTGTGTAGTATGATACTATACGCCGCTAGCACTGGAAGTGAAGCGAGGCGTTGCGGATCGTTGCTCAATCGCCCAGGGAGATGAAAAGCGCGGGAAAAACCTCTGGAGCCGGTGAGTTCCCCCGAAACATCCGTAAAGATCGGACCGCTGAGCTCTCGCTCCTCCTCTTCCCAGGCAACAATGAAGAAAGAGATGATTAAGAAGGGCCTGCTGGACAAACACGGCAAGCCCAACGAGCAGACGCCTAAGGAGTGGAACGCCAGCTACGAGGACTACAACGTGAAGAGCGAGCCTGCCGGCGACGGGCACGCGGAGCAGCCTGCGCCCAAGAAGAAGGTGAGCCGCCTGGCCCTGGAGTCTGGTGCGCCGCGCCGCAGGCCGCGGCGTGTGCAGCTTCCCTCTGTTCATACTGCCGCTGATGACAGGATGTGGTTACTGCAGCTGGGGGCGGTACAGCCTGGCAGAAATGGTCGGATCTGGTGGTGAACTTCCTCGCTCTCTGGGCTGAGCAGATCTGCCGGACGCTACACTCAGGCCGAATGGATTGCACTCAAATTCAGACGCGGTGTCACCGATGCTGTGTTTTGGACGCTCGTGTGTTGGTATGGGATGCGGTCACTGGACCTGGGATTCGTTTTCAGAGGAAGTTCTCCGAGTCCAGCGCGGACCTGTCAGCCGTGAAAACGGAGCCGTCCGACCCTGAGGATCAGGAAGGCAGAAAGGAGAAGAAGAAGAAGAAGAAACACAAGAGGGACCAGGAGGAAGAGGACGTGAACGGCGCACCGGTCAGGGCATAACGGGCACTGCCCAGTGCTGTTGCAGCCGCGATTTAAATTAGAATCCTCCCCTCCCCCATTTGGGATGGACATAGGTGAAGACGAACAGGCATTGGTTGCAGGAATATTACCTTTTCGAAAGCGTATGAGCCGAGCCGCGCCGCTCGTACGTCAGTGCTCTCATAATTCGAAACTCATCCGGCGTGCGCTCTCGGCCCTAGTTCGATATCATTTTTGTGGCGTTACATGTCCATTGTATGTCGATGGTACCACCTGTTATCTAACATCTGTGCGGGACAGGCGCATAACCAGAATTGTCCAGGGGGGGGGGGGGGGGGGGTGCATGCCGGATCGGACCAGATTTATGCGAAATCGCCCGGTACGTAGCGCAAACCTCTTCGGCTCAGGGAGGGGGGCAAAGCCCTTTGCCCTGGTGCCGGAAAGAGCCTGTTTGGTGGATGTGGTCCTACCGCACAGCTCGCACGGCCTTAGGCAGACGGCTCCCGTATGGGGAGGCCAGCACTGCCCTCGGACCCGCAGAAACCGTCGGACTGCTGGAGCCGGGCTGTCAGAATTGGTTGCTCGACCGCGTGGGTTTGTTTTAAAACTAGACGAAGATGCCAGTGTATTGCACGCATGCTTTTGCGTGATAACCTGTTAGCTTGAAGCTTTTTAACTCAACTTTCACCATTCCAGGTCGAGGAATCTGGCGAGAAAAAGAAAAAGAAGAAGAAGAAGGACAAAAAGTCCGAAGAAGACTGAGAAGAAAGAATCGTTTCAGCTCGTAAAGCTGGTGACATGTACATTTTGCGAGCGGTGCTGAACGGCGTGTAAAGAACTGTTTTTGGGACGACTATTTTAGCCGTTTTAAGACGAGTATTTTTGGTGCCGCAATGACCAGGGGAGTGCCTCTGCCGGCGCTGGTCGGGAAGATTTCACTGCCGTCTCGCCGGGGCGATGACTGGGTGAAAGGAGAGCGTGTGATTGTTGCGCCATCGCCATCTTGCGAGAACAACATCATTACCATGCTGACACTTGTCTTCTTGGGGAAAGTGCGAAAAGAATGGCTGGGGAATGAATTGTGTGGCGAAAATTGCCGGAATGCATGGACGGGTATGCACTATCAGTCAGTTTTACTTACGAGCGCAACGTTAAAACACTGCAGTAAAAATGGCCACGAAAATATCGGTTCGAGCTCAGTTTGATGGCTTCGACGGCTGTCGTGGGCGGAGCGGAGTGGGTTTCTGGAAGCCTACCCGATCAAAACGATCTATCCTTCGCGTGGCACGACTAACGCAAACCAGTGAAAAAAATCAGCAGGGACCCATAGTTTTGAGCGAATCTGATTATCGCTCGTCGATGGTTCTGTGAAGCTCGGCCCATGGAGGCGGCACGGCGGCCAGGAGGTGGCTGGAACAGACGGTGGGCTATGGTGTGAACCTTGCATTCGCAGCAAAAAGGCGCCTTGTTGCAGCTAGCAGCCTCAGCCTTGCCCTGTACATCTTTCGGAATGGATCGTGTAGCGCGACTCCACGCCGGTGTAAAGCCATCGAAAACAAGCCGGCTAAATCTTGCTGGATAAGCTCACGTCACTAGTGGGTGCTCTGCTCCCGTGGCAGACGGTTGCTAAAAGTAGCGCATGCATGGCATTCCATAGTTCGTTGACCCCCGATTGTAGGTCTTTTCAAAACCGCACGTGGAGGGAGAACCTCAGCTTCTGAAGATATACATTCTTCATCGAGTTTATCCGCAGCGTGTATTTACACACAGCCAACCAGGGAATCCAAGCACGGCGATGCCCGACGAGCGGGCTGATCTCGCATTCCAGTTCGCTTACGACGTGCAAGCCAGATCTGCGGCGGTCTGTGCGCGTTCACGATAGGTGCCCTCGCGCTGTGCAATGCCCCGTCCTCCGAGCGAGCGCGCACAACAGGCACGCCGCTCGTGTCCCGCCTACGCGATATCACGTGCTGGGCCTCGCACCAACGTCGCGGCGCTCTGGCAGAGCTGGCCGCTGGGTCGCCAGCTCTACGATAGTAGGTAGTACCTGAAACACAGACGACACATGAATATCAAGCAAGCCACACGAGAAGTCGGGCACGGAAAAAGCTTGGGACGCACTTGGCTGTGAATGTTAACGAACACAAGAAGCGTGTGCCATTCATCCGGTTTTGGCTCTGGATCACCACCTGTCTCACGCCGAGGCGCGCACGAGCTGCTGCATGGCAGCCGAGCACGCGTTTGCAATGATACCAGCGTCTGGTGAGACCGCCAATCGGTTGGCGGTCAGCACCGGCACGCGAGTGATGGCCGCTAGCTAGCTGCGCCACGCCGTGCGATTCAGACACCAAATGACAGTTTCTGAACACATGGCGTTCACATGGCAAAGGGAACAGCCGCAGATGGTTACCAGCGTCGTACTACGAGAACCTTGTCGCTGTAAATCTCGTTAACTCACGGCAGCTTGATCCGCATGAAGGTGAAGCAGCAGACAAACGAGACCAGCACGCAGGAGAAGCCGACGCAGATCAACATCATGCGGTTGCTGCGCGGCGTGGCCGGGTTGTGTGTTTGGTCCAGCAGGATGAAGCCCAGGCCGCCCATGGTGAAGAGGAAAGACGACGCCAGGCCCTCCATGATGTACTGGCCGTTGACGCGATACGGTAGGAACGCGACCTGCGGAAGTGCAAGACTTGAATGTTGACAAACGGCCCCGTTGCGGTCCGGAGAAGATTCATGTGCTTGGAAACCTGTCTGTAAGTTTGGTCCGAATGACTTTGTGTGTACGACATAACCTCCCTGTTGGCGACATGCAAACAGAGAGGTGTCAAAATCGTCGGAAATCAGCAGCCTTGCGCACAAACCGTAAGCGCGGAAAGCCGCAGTCACGCTCGGTACAAACACTGCGTTGCAGATAGTTGACACCGATAGGCTGAAGAGGAAGACCACAGTCGCCGTCGAGCGACATGAAATTGGGCACGTGCGGCGCGTCGTCACGCGCCGCATTTCGCAGCCCTCCACCCCTGACCGACGCCCAAACAGGCTCGGGTTCAGCTGGTCTGCAGCTGCTGTCCTGAGCTGACCAGCGTACCCAACCTGATAACGCGGCGTGTGTTTAGCTAAGGAGGACTGGGTCTGCGCTGCTGAATGCGGACTGCAATGTCAGCACACATGGCTGATCGCCAGACCTTGCTGGCCGCGTGGTATTCACCAGACCCGCGACCCGAATAGCATAGCAGCCTTACAAAACGTATCCAGTACGGTGTGCAGGATGTAAATATGAATGCGTGCTACCAGAGCCTTGGCTCTCCGGTAGCTGCCGCACACAATTCATTGGCGCTAATCCGTCGCCCTTTGACTCCGAATCCAGACATCTGCCCCGCCAGCCCACTTGCCAAGCCTGAGATGCTAAGACCAAGGGGAGGGGAAACAAGCAGTGAACTCCATCCCGAAATTCTAAAAGCATGACGAAAATATAGGCATCCCTGCCACCCAAGTGGCCGAACATTGAGAAGCTGTGGCACAGCGCCCCGGATCGGCGGGCCGTTACAGCTCAGGCTGAAAATAATCGACGACGCTGGTGGACTACAACTGTGGATGCTCCCGACAAAGGCCCGGGTGGAAAGCCAAGGCCGGGTAATAACAGGCTGGGCTACACCGCAGCACATGGACACTGAAAACACAAACTGACCCTGAACAGGGCACCATGGGATCCAAGACTGAAAGACAATAGGGTGGGTGAAGGTGGTTAAGCACAAGTTGCCACGAGCCAGCCCCAGAAGAGTTGAATAGCATATGTGTAAAAACTGAGCCTATGTGATTCATGTTGAAAAAACAGTAATAATTCAGTACATTAGTCAGATGCATGTTCCAAAAATGAGTTTAAGTTAACAAAAAAATTGCAAGGTCATCAGCGACTTACTGGTTTCGAGTGCCCTCGGTCATCAGTAGTGGAGCCGATACTTGGAGGTTCATTGATGACATCATAGATGATCCCTGAAATATTGGTGTCTGTTCATACCAGAGCTGAGGGTTCATAGCATTTCAGGATTTGAGGCAAAGAGAGGGTGGGTTCATGTGCAGTTGATATTTGAAGAGATATCAACCTCAAATTGGATCACATACATCAGCATCTCCAACTCATGCAAAGGGTTAAAAAGTAGGATGGTTGAATCAGTTCCACACAGAACCTTCAAACCTCATCAGATTTGGCTTATCCGAGGGATTTGCAAACACATATTTCATGCAGTTCCTTATACATGTTAACTATGGGTTTTAGGATTTGATAAAGTTTTTGGGATCTGAATCCAGGTTCTGATCATCAAGTTATTGTTTTTGTTTCAAAAGTTGGCAACAGTTGAATGCATTGAATCTTGTGAATCCAAATACCCAGAGATGGCAAGCAGCCACTACAGACACATCTTTGCATTGCACACAATTTTTCTGGGTCACATACAACTGCAAAAATGGAGACCAACAATGCCACAAATCATACCTTCACATGTTTACAATACAAGCTTTTAGTAACTGCAAGAAACAGTGCTCCTTGCTGCTACTATGCCAATAGCATCGGGAATGACAGCTGGATCATGGATGGAAATCATTGCTGAATTTCACAAAAGCAAGTGAGAGAGTCATATTTTTGCCACCAATTTTGCAGCTGCATCCAAGGCTAAGATCACATTGAGCCTTTTACCTCTTACTTATGCATATCCTTACATACAGGTTAAAGTTAGCCCTTTCTTGTATGTATCCCAGTAAGCAGAAAATTGCATGCTTTCTGGTGATGAGTTGATATCAGGAATACAGAAATAGCCAGCAAACATTTGTCATTATAGGATAACCATATTTTGATATTGTATCATAACTGACCCTGTCTGCATGTCATATTTGAAACTTCTTGCAACATATCTATCATATATCATAGACAATTATCTCAAAGATACAAAATCACACAGTCATCATTAAGATTGCGGAGCACAGACACCCTTTTCAGAAGCAACTGCCACCTTGGTATTTCAATAGCCACAGGATAAACAGTGCAAGAAAGTGTCTGCATGGTGGCACCACTATCCAGCTGCTGCTGAACAACTGATGTAACCCTTGTCTTTTTTTGCAAGACAGTTGCATGTATGGCAAAAAGAGCCTGAATCAACAGTAGGTGTCTACTACATGCATCCATTGCTTATAATGCTTGTAAGATACATCTCAACTATGCCCTCCACCCAGGCAGTGCAGATGTGGGAAAGACCTGCACTAAACATGTGGTTCTTGATCACCACCTTACCATTTGAAATTTTCTAGGCTTTCTCTTAAAGTGAAAAGCATTAGTTCTGCCTGACTTGTGCCATCTTCAGTTGGGGGGGGGGGAGGGGGGGGCAGGGGGCATGCTGCAGGTGAGCCTTCAGGACCCACCCTTAAGTGCACCAAAATTTCTAACAGAAACTAATTTAAATCTGGCTGCACAGCTGGAAATATCAGGCCCAGACCTATCCTGTTAATGTCATGAATCTGTTCCTCAACTTTGTACAGGGTGTTGTGGATCAGGTTCATTTAAAGTGCAAGGACACTACAAATTGGCAAAGCATGCCATACCTATGCAAGTATTTTCACAATTTAGGAGATAACCCCAGCTCCCCACTCTCAACACCTCAGCACACCATTTTCAAGACATCAGCAGGTGTGGGTCATATTGGAATCAGAAGAGCATTTGGGGAAGTCCATTCACGATGCCAGGGGGCCGGCATGGAGGCACTCATTAGACACATCAACACCGGATAGAAAATGTTCAAATATCTGTAATATCAAGTAACGCCATCACCTTTTAACCCTGCACGAGCTGCCAATGTGTGTCACATTTACCAAACTTACCGCCTGTAACCATGAAATAAGACACCAGAATAAACGCAAACATTTGCATTGCACTTGGCTGCTGAAACCATGACGGCTTTTTGATCTTCAAGTTCGGAACCTCCAAGAGTTTGAAAGGTATCGACACCAGTGTTTCCATACCGCTGGTTTGTGATTGCTCG